GGATTGTGGCTCAGAGGTAGAGTGCTTGCCTAGCATGGGCGAGGCCCTGGGTTTGATCCTCAGCACCACATAAAAAAATAAAATAAAGTTATGTGTCCACCTATAAGTAAAAAATAAATATTGAAGATAAAAAAAAGAAGGGGACCTCTAAAGTCCTTTGTACTTTCTTCAAAAGTAAAAAGACCCCTAGGATGAATTGCCTTTTCCAATTTCCAATTTCCTAACTCTCATGAGTTATTAAAAGACCCAAGGGGCTGGGATTGTGGCCCAGTGGTAGAGGGCTCACCTAGCATGTGCGAGGCCCTGGGTTCAATCCTCAGCACCACATAAAAATAAATAAATAAAACAAAGGTATTAAAAAAAAAAAAGACCCAAATCCTTATGAGATTTGACTGGGGCTGGACAATGACAGAGGGAGGAGATGAGAAAGTCGCCCAGGAGAAGATGAGAGCTTCATTGGAGTGACTGACCAATGTTGGGTAGAGTAGAAAGTGAAATCAGGAAGGAGACTGACATCCAGGGCCTAAGTTTCCTAGTGATGTCAAAGCACAGGGTGAGCAGGAATAAGAGAGTGGCACATACAGAAGGACAGAGGCTCTAACCAGAGAGCAGGTTTTCCAAATATTCTCTTTCTGGATGACAATAAGGATGTGGCTGGAGGCAGGGGTTGACAAGATAAAGTGCAGGCTGAGAAGTAGAGAAGATCAACAATTTTTTTTTTTTTTTTTTTTTTTGGTTCCAGGGATTGAACCCAGAGGTGCTTAACAACTGAGCCACATCCCCCAGCCCTTTTTTAATGTTTTATTTTCAGAAGGGTCTCACTAAGTTGCTTAGCACCTCACTAAATTGCTGAAGCTGGGGCTGGGTATGTGGCTCAAGCGGTAGCGCACTTGCCTGGCATACGTGCGGCCCGGGTTCGATCCTCAGCACCACATACAAACAAAGATGTTGTATCCACCGAAAAACTAAAAAATAAATATTAAAAAATTCTCTCTCTCTCTCTTAAAAAAATAAAAAAATAAATTGCTGAAGCTGGCCTTGAACTTGTAATCCTCCCGCCTCCGGAGTTATTGGGATTATAGGCATGCACCACGATACCTGGAAAGATTAAGAAATTATGAAGAAATTTCAAAGTATTAGACAGGTCATTGATATGGATCAGTGACTCTTCACTGGGAGCTTCATTGGCCCCATCGGGCAATTGGAAACATATGGAGATTTTGTTGGGTTTTCTCTCCCATCCCTTTATTCCTTCTGTAGTTGTCACAGTGTCATAGGTTACTTACTACCAGCATTTGGAGGAGCTATCCTACACAAGGAAGAAGTACACCCAGAATTCCAATAACACCCCAATGAGAAACAGAGAAGCAAATAATACAGGAAACTGGTGTTTCCAGTGAAAGAAAGGAGCTTGGCCAGAAGCTGGCACACCACTGTGACACAGGAGAGAAGTGTGAAGTGTAGTCAGATGTGAGCCTCAGAACTCAGGTTTAGGACATTAGAACCAGGCACTAAAAACAATGAATGGGAACGGTATTGCAGTTGCAGGAAAGCAGCAAGTCTGACTCCTGACCCTAGAATATTTCAGGATCCCATGTGCAGAAAGAGTACTACTCAGACATGGGAATGCATGGCAAGGGAAAGCCAAGTTTAGTTAAGGCAGGTGGGGCTAAGGAAGGTGAAAAGGCTAAGAATGTACAGAAGTTTCTCTGCAGAACAGGGGGTTTCCAACTCCCATTAATCACATCTCAACACGGTCTCAGATCCCTTCACTTTCTTTCCATTCCTGTTGCTCCCCACCCTCACAGCAGCTTTCACTTGGTTTCCTGAAAGAGCCTCATAAATTGTCTCCATGCTATTAATCTCTCACCTTTTCCAATATGACTTTTACAATGTTGCCAGAAGCATCTTTCCAAAACACAAGTCTGATCATGTCACTCTCTCAGTTGCATTCACCGCTGAACTAACTAAATCTGAAACTTAGCATAGCATTGGAGGCCTCCCACCATCTAGCTCTAATTGAACCATACCAGTCCCTTCTCACTTTTGTTTTTGCCCTGCTTGACTGCTTGCTTTCTATTCCCTTTGCTTGTATTAGGCTCCCACAATCCTTTCCTTATTCACTTTGCTTTATGTTCAGGTTCACTTCTTGAAACTCACCAGACTATCTCTTCCAATTACCAATAATTCCTAAATTTCCCTAAAGGCAAAAATCACCCAGGATACTTGTTAAGAGCACAAATTCCTGAGCCCCAATGCAGATACAGAATCAGAATCTTTGGAGGACCTGGGAAGCCATCCATGTAGGAAGGTTTTAAAACATGTTCAAAAAAACTTTGATATTCTACCCATCAGGAGGTAGAGTCAAATTCCCCTCTCCCTAAATATAAGTCAGCCTTGGTTATTTACTTCCTTTTTTTTTTAAGGTACTGGGGATTGAATTCATGGCCTTGCACATACTAGGCAAGCACTCTACCCTTGAGTTACATCTTCAGGCTTAGTGACTCACTTCTATGAAGAGAATGTGGTAAAAGTGATAGCATATGACTTCCAAGGCTAAGGTCATGAAAGGGAACCAACTTCTAGCTTCTTTCTTCTTTTGTTCCCTCTCTCCCTCTGTTTCTGGCTGCTTGCCTTAGAACCCAGCCACGAAGCCAAAGAGTCACATGGACTGGCCATGTGTAAGTGTTCCAATCATGACCCCAGCTGAGTTCCCAGATGACAGCCAGCATCAACTGCCTGACTTGGGAGTGAGCGAGCCTTTAGATAACTAAGGCTCCCAGTTTTTGAGCCACCCTGGCTTATGCTAAGTAGAGCAGAGACAACCCTGTCCAAATTGGAGATTCACAAGCAAAATAAACATTGCCATTATTTTATGCCTCTAAATTTTAGAGGTCTCTGTTTTTGTGATGCTGAGCATCTAACACAAGGCTTTAAGCATGCTAAGCAGGCACTCTGCCACTGAGGTACATCCCCTAGCCCAAGATTTTTTTATTTTCTTTAAAAATTTTTTGTTTTTGTATCAGGGACTGAACCCAGGGGCTCTTAACCACTGAGCCACATTCCCATTCCTTTTTATTTTTTGAGACACATTCTCGCTAAGTTACTTAGGGACTCCCTAAGTTGCTGAGACTGACTTTGAACTTGCAATCCTTCTGCCTCAGCCTCTCAAACCACTGGGATTATAGACATGTGCCACCATGCCAAGCTCCCAAGATTATTTTAATCAAAATTATTAATTCATACTAATTATACAGATTATTGTTTTGTCCTGGGGGTTGAACTCAGAAGTGCTTTAACACGGAGCTACATCCCCAGCGTTCTTTTAATTTTTGGACAAGGTCTCACTAATTTGCTGCGGGTCTTACTAAATTGTTGAGGCTTGCCTCAACTTCTGATCCCTCTTCCTGCCTCAGCCTCCCAAATTTCTAGGATAATAAAACATGTGCCACAGTGCCTGGCTAATTGTATAGATTAATGTGACATTTACTTGTATGCATATATCATGCTTTGCTTGAATCCAAATGCCCTCTATTACTCTCCCTTCTTTTGCCATCACTCTTATCTCTCTTCTCTTCTCAATGTTTTTAGTTTCAGGTCATCATTTTTTCTTTTTTTTAAATATATTTTTTTAGAGAGAGAGAGAGAGAGAGAGAGAGAGAGGGAGAATTTTTTTTTTTAATGTCTTTATTTTAGTTCTCAGCGGACACAACATCTTTGTATGTGGTGCTGAGGATCGAACCCGGGCCGCACGCATGCCAGGCGAGCGTGCTACCGCTTTTGAGCCACATCCCCAGCCCAATCATTTTTTCTTTAATTACCACAATAGAGAAACACATGATACTTGTCTTTCTGTATCTGGTTTAGTTCATGTAACATCATGACCCCCAGTTCCATCTATTTTCTGCAAATTATGTGATTTAATTCTTTTTTTTTTTTTTTACAGCTGAATAATACTTCATCATGTATATATACCATAATTTCTTTATTCATCTTTCAATGCCAGTCTAAGATTTTCTTCAGGGTACTATAGATTGAACCATGGACCTTGTATATTCTGGGCAAAGGCTCTACCACTAAGCTAAATCCCCAGTGCTTAGCATCTTCTAAAACAGAAATAGAGGTTGGGGATTTAGCTCAGTGACAGAGCACTTGCCTTGTATGTGTAAGGCCCTGAGTTTGGTCCTCAGCTCTGAAAAAAATAAATAAAACACAACAATAGATAACTGGAACACCATATCATTAGCAAGTACTCCAGATAAATCTTAAGATCATGAAGGTTGGGCTGGGCACTGTGGTGCATGCCTTTAATCCCAGTGACTTGGGAGTCTGAGACAGGAACATCACAAGTTCAAGGCCAGCCTGAGCAACTTAGCAAGGCCCTCAGCAACTTAGTGAGACCCTGTCTCAAAAAATAAAAAATGCAGGGCTGGAATTGTAGCTACAGTGGTAGAGCACTTGCCTTGCCTAGCATGTGTGAGGCACTGCATTCAATCCTCAGCACCACATAATAATAAATAAATAAACAAACAAACAAACAAAATAAAGGTATTGTGTCCATCTACAATTTTAAAAATATTTTAAAAAATAGGGTCAGGGTTGTGGCTCAGTGGTAGAGCGCTTGCCTAGCATGCTTGAGGCACTGGGTTCAATCCCCAGCACCACATAAAAATAAAAACAAATAAAGGTATGTGTCCATCTACAATTAAAAAAAATATTTAAAAAAAATTAAAAAATAAGAAGAACTGGGGATATATTTCAATGGTAAATCACCCTGGGTTAAATCCCCAGTACCTGCCCTCTGCCCAAAAAAGCTCCTGGTTTAATTCCCCTGTACTGCTGAATACATACATACATACATACATGTCTCCTGATTATTATCATCTTTCTTCTCCACGGTACTGTGTATGGTACTCAGTAAGTCATTTCATAATCTCCCTGACAGGTGGTATTGTGTGCTTAAGACAAATGGTCTTTTTGGAACCAGGATCAGCACTTACTTGGAGAATATTTCCACGATAGTTGATGACTTGTTCTTGTTGACAAGAGAAAGTTCTTTGGCTGTTACCCTCAAAGACAGTGAAGTCCATTGCCGTCTGTTAAATGCAGTTGATTCCATCTTGTCTACAGATACTGAAACACCTACACAATAAAGAAAGTCAGAACATTAGATGTAGGAGAGGGATCGCCAGCATCCAAGGATTGACAGTGGGGTATGAACAGTAAGAGAGCAGAGAGCCCAAACCAACACACTCTACTCTTCTACCACTTCTCCCAAAAACTGTGTAACCTTGGTCAAATGATTCAATATCTTTGGGTTGCAGTTTTCTGTAGAAGGGGGTTAGATCAGATCATTTATAAAGTCTCTTCCAGGTCCAACATTTTATGACTGATCCTATGGGGCAAAAGTCAACTGGCCTTTCCTTGAATTTAAGCCTGTTCCAAAGTCACATTTAGAGTGAAATGTTCCCCTCTTCTGAATTACATCCCAGGGGAGGTACAATCAGCATCTCAGCAGAGTCAGATTCAAGTTAGATTCTACCTACATCCAGGCTTCTTTTGGCTGGCCTCACTCCCCACACTCTGCAGCACTAGCCATTCAGCCTTGGAAGGACAGCTGGGGACTCTGCATGGTCTACTAGAAAGAGCAAGGGCTTTCAGGCTAGGCAGACTTCAGTAAAACCATAACTTTGTTACCTTGAACAAATTATGTAACTTTGGGGCTGGGGGGTGAAGCTCAGCAATAGAGATTTGCCTAACATGGGTGAGGCTCTGGGTTCAATCCCCATGGGGTGAGAGGGTGGAGTAACATTAAAAAAAATTTTTTTTTAGTTGTAGATGGACACAATACCTTTATTCCATTTATTTATTTTTATGTGGTGCTGAGGATTGAACCCAGTGCCTCACACATGCGAGGCAAGCGCTCTGCCACTGAGCCACAATCCCAGCCTGGGAGGAGTAATCTTTCTAGTTTTAGTTTTTTTTTTCTTTTCTTTTCTTTTTTTAATTTATTTTTCAGTTTTATGTGGGCACAATATCCTTATTTTATTTTATGTGGTGCTGAGGATTGAATCCAGCACTTCATGCATGCTAGGTAAGCACTCTACCTCTGAGCCACAACCCCAGCCCCAGTTTTAGTTTCTTCAGCTAAAAAAATGAGGAAAATGGGGTGAAGGTGGGAGTTCATAACCCACTTGAATCAAAGTGTGGAATATGATATGTCAAGAAATTTGTAATGTTTTGAACAACCCACAATAAAAATTAAAAAAAAATAAATAAATAAAAATAAAAATTAAAAAAAAAAAATGAGGAAAACGAGGATTATACCTAAACTTTCTAGGGTTTTAATGTAGATTTATGGCAACAATATATTTAAAATACTAGGCATGTTAGAGTAGTATAAAGAGCATTTTAAGCATGACATATTAGCTTTGGCACTTGTATATTCTTACTATGATTAGCCAATCAGTAAAATATACTTAAATTCAAAGGCCACAATCTCCATACTTAAATTCTTTTCTGATGGTGCACTGGTGCACACCTGTAACTCCAGTGACTTGGCAGGCTGAGGCAGGAGGACTGCCAGTTCAAGACCAGCCTCAGGGGCTGGGGCTGTAGCTCAGTGGTAGAGTGCCTGCCTCGCAGGTGTGAGGCACTGGATTCGATCCTCAGCACCACATATAAATAAATAAATATATTGTGTCCATCTACAACTAAAAAAAAAAAAAAGACTAGCCTCAGCAATTTAGTGCAGCCCTGTCTCAAATAAATAGGGATAGGGGTGTGGTTCAGGGCCCCTGGGTTCAATCAAAAATTATTTTCTATGGTCCCTTCAAGCCAAAAAATACCCAAAGCCATTCTCTTGACATCAGTTAATCTCTACCCATTAACCTAGATTTTTTTTCCACCAGTACTTATCAAAGGAGTTCCAACTTTTGTCCAAAAGAAGTAAGATTAGATTAGTCGAGGCTCGGGATGTGGCTCATGTGGTAGCACGCTTGCCTGGCATGCATGAGGCACTGGGTTCAATCCTCAGCTCCACATAAAAATAAAGATATTGTGTCCATCTAAAACTAAAAAATAAATATTTTTTTTAAAAAAGATTAGATTAGTCAATAGTTTCTTTATTTGAAGAGCGAAAGTAAAAATTAAAGTACTGCTTGCAGCTCTCTTGACAACTGCAGAGCATAAGTAATCTGATACAAGAAATGGTTCCTGGAGTATTGCAACCCACAGCCCTGACAACAGTGGAATACAAGAGGCACTGGGCTGCCCTTTCACACTAAAAGTACCAAGATGAAAAGTAGGTGATGGGCAACTCTAATAGACCATGCTACTTTTCCACACATAGCACTTTGTTTTTTCTGACTAAAGCCTTGTCTGAAAATAATACTAGTTTGTTGTTTTTGTTGATTTGTCTTAATCCCTATACTGGAAGACAGCAGAGTTCACAGCAATGGTAAGATCTCTGGCATTAGCATCAGATAGGCCCAAGTATGAGTGTTGGCCTCAACACTCAATGCTGTGTACTGTTCCTAAAACTTAGATTTCTCACCAATAATAACAGGTGTGTTTGTTTTGGTCTGGAATTGAACACAGTGGTGCACTGTGCTATACCCCCAGCACTTTTTAGTTTTATTTTGAGACAGTGGCTCACTAAGCTGCCCAGGCTAGCCTTAAACTTGCAATTCTTCTGTCTCCCAAGTCACTGGAGTTACAGGAGTGTGCTAACACACTCAGCACAATAACAGTATTCCTTTTCTTAAAAAATTTTTTTAGATGTTGATTGACTTTTATTTTATTCATTCATTTATATGCGGTGTTGAGAATCGAACCCAATGCCTCACATGTGCTAGACAAGTGCTCTACCACTGAACCACAACCCTAGCCCCCCCAAATAGTATTCTTTTGAGGAATAAATAAGATAAAAAAGAATAATCCAGAATCAGTAAACAATAAATGTTAGAGTTTTTTAAATGTTATATCTTCTTTCTGAATAAAATAATCTCAATATTACTCATGCTTTCTAAATAAACCTGAATGTACCAAATAAAACATGACACCTATTTGTGTATCTACTTCCCAATTTGTAACTGACAGACTCACCACTGTCAGCCTTTTTTTCTAACGAGAACAAGGTGTGCAAGTAACAAACAATTTGGCCAAACTTAATTATGTAAAACCACAATATTCATCCTTTAAAACAAATTTAGGAAACACTGACCAACACTTTAAGACATTATTTGGCAAAATTATGCTTCTAACATAGGTGTGGGTATAAATGTTGTCAGTTCTTCTAATGTGATGAATTTTGGATGAAAGAGAAAACACACACACACACAAACACAAGGTTATAAGGTTTGTTCTCAAATCTGTTCATAAAAAAAGGAACAGCGGACCTGGGTATGTGGCATGTGCCTATAGTCCCAGCTACTTGGAGTAATGAAGCAGGAGAGTTCAAGATCAGCCTGGGGAATGTAGGGAGACACTATCTTAAAACAACAACAACAACAAAAAAAAAAAAAGTGGGAGGAAAGTATTGGTTATATGAGGGACTGAGCATGATAAAGAAAAAGGAGTTGATTCCACATCTGGTTTTGAGTACTCCTGGCTAGAATGCTATGGAAAGTTAGAACATCTATCTTGGTATAAGTGCACCTTATATACAAGGAATAAATTGTTCACCCCAAAATATGGAGAGACCCCTATCTAAATGGTATTCATAATCTATTGAACTTACTAGCATATAACAAATAGTTACAGCACAAGGCAGAATGTGGTTAGAGGCAATGTATGGTCTAGGAGGGTGGGATTTTTGGCTGGAGGGAAGAGATGGAAAAAGATACTGGATTAACTTGGAATGGGCAGAATTTCACAATGAGAGTAGGAGGAATAAAGTACAGGAGAATACCTTTAGGGGATGAGTTAGATTTTGGTTGCAAAAGAAGTTGAAAATAAGGTAGGAAAAGGCAGGATGAGGCCATACTAGGAAGAGCCTTGAAAACCTTGTTAAGGAAGTTAGGACACATTCCAAAAGTGCAAATATCTAGCCTGTGAGTTAGCAGAAATGTAGTCCTTTTTCTTTTTCTTTTGGTACCAGGGATTAAACCCAGGATGCTTAGACACTGAGCCACATCTCTGGCCCTTTTTATTTTATTTCTTTATTTTGAGACAAGGTCTCCCTAAGTTGCTTAGGACCTCACTAGTTTGCTGAGGCTGACTTTGAACTCATGATCTTCCTGCCCCCACCTCCGGCGGAGCTGCTGGGATTACAGGTGTGCACCAACAGGCCAGGCTTAAAGTCTAGTCTTAATGTGCTATTCCTCAGCACAAGCATGACATTTAAGGCAATTTTTTTAAGAATTTCCCCTGAGGGCTGGGGTTGTGGCTCAGAGGTAAAGTGCTTGCCTATCATGTGTGAGGCATTGGGTTTGATCCTCAGCACCACATAAAAATAAAATAAAGCTATTGTGTCCACCTATAACTAAAAACTAAATATAAAAAAAAAATTTCCCTGAGCCTCAATAGTCACATCTGTAAGATAAAAGCTCTACATTGGATTACCCACAGTCTCTACAGTGAAACAAATAAAGTTTCTGAAAAACCACAATGAATGCCATGTCTTAAAAAAGATTATTCTGCAACAGTGTATAACTTGCTAAGAGAAGAAACTGGAGTCTAACAGTTACTAAAAGATCCTAAAACTGTCTAAATGAGAGATAATCAAGGTTTTCATTTTGTTTGGTACTGGGGATTGAACCTAGGGTGCTTTACTACTTTAGGTACATCCCACTCCTATTAAACACAGTTGCTGAAGCTGGCCTCCAACTTGCCATCCTTCTGCCTCAGCCTCCAGAATGGCTGGGATTATAAGTGTGAACGATCACACCCAGCCCCATCAAGGTTTCAAGTAGGAATGAAACATATGTAGAGAGAATTGATAGTTTTCAGAATAAAAGGGACTTAAGGTAAGAGAAGGAATCAAAGCTGGCATCACCAAACATAAACGATTAAAAGTTTAAGGGTAAATATAGAATGACAAGAGAGAGTTTTGCTATTTCATGTTGAAATATACACATAATCAAGAAAAATCCAAGTGATACACAAGAAACTTCAAATTCAAAACTACCATTAGAA